GGTTGTGGTGGTGAAGAGGGTGGTGAGTTGTTGTGGTGGTGAAGAGGGTGGAGGGTTGTGGTGGTGAAGAGGGTGGTGGGTTGTGGTGATGAAGAGGGTGGCATTTTTGGTTGTGGAGGAGATACTACGAGGGAAAATATGATAAAAGATTGAAAGGAAACATGGATAAAGGGCAGGGGGACTGGAGAGAGAGAGAGAGAGAGAGAGAGAGAGAGAGAGAGAGAGAGGGAGCTCTGATGAGTATGCCACCACCTTCAGCCGCCGTCTCTCAGGTTGGGGTGTGATTGGCTCTCTACTCGTAAACTGTGGATCCCCTCGATACCATCTTACGCATATATTAAAAGTGTATTGAGTACTGCGTCTTGGGCAGGTAATTTTCGCGTGTAGAGTAATGGGCTGAACTAAGCCATGAACCCGGAACAAATCCCGAATCATTACTAGAACTACGAATATAATGCGGTTAGTTCAGCTATAAGGTAGGATGATCTTGGTAGGATTAGGTTAGCTTAGGTTAGGTTAGGTTAGGTTAGGTTAGGTTAGGTTAGGTTAGGTTAGGTTAGGTTAGGGAAAGATTAGGATTATGTGAAGGTTAAGTGAGGTTAGGTTAGGTTTGGTGATAGTCCAGGTCCGATGGTTAGTGAGTTCAGGTAAAATAATTTAAATGTTTAGTCACCAGGAAAAAAAAGTGTGGTACAGTTTTTCTTTTAACATACAACTCAGCAAAATGCTCTCGTAATTTTACACAGGAATCGTTTTGTCTTGCCCAACTTATTTCGACAAGTAACCTAACGAATACCTGTCCACTTATCGACCAGGTAACTCAAGGGGAAGCTGTTCCAACTGGTAAACAGCTCAGTGAGGAACTGTATCACCCGGTAAACAGCTCAAAGAGAAGCTATACCTCCTACCCACCGAGTTAGAGATATGTGGCCCTAGATAAGCCAGACTGTTTGCCAGTTGGCTATAAGTTACTTCCAGTAAGCCACTCTGACTCCCAGCTGAGGGTGTTGTGTAGCGGACCGGGAGTGAAGTAGGTGATTCTCCGAGAACAAGTTGTCAGGCACAGATCAATCAGATCACTCGACGATCTCTCAACCATTACAACACGACACCGACGTTTTACGATGGTGTGTGCTTTATGGAGTACACACGAGGGAGCACCAGCACGCCGCCGAGTCTCGTTGTAAGACTTGTTCCTGAGTGTAGGTGTGAGTTATATACAGTTACTTATTTCCCTGACTCGTATATTAAGGAGTCTTTTTTTGCTTCGTCTCCCATGGTGGGTGTCGTTACTCCAGGCTGTGGTGTAGACTCTCGTGCGATACCGATCTTTACTGTGGATGCCAGATGCTTTGTTATTGGTGCTTGGGTACAGGAGGTGACTCACACCAGAGCGGCCTTGATGTATACGGGATTATTGGTTTTGGTTTCGTTGGAAGACTAGACTTCTGTGTCTTCGTAAATCCAGTTAAAAATCTCTAAAATTACATTAAAATGGTGAAGTGGACGAGAGTATGATATCGTGTGCAAGGTGTGTGGTAAACGGGCAGTACAATGATATAATCTTCCAGCGTGCAAGGACAGTATGTCATGGCAAGGTTATGGTACAAGAACAATACGATCTTGTGTGCCAGTGCTGCAAGTCACATGTGACACCACACCGCATGATATAATCTGGCAGTGTCTCAAGGATAGTATGATGAGCTGTCAGTGTAGAAAAGATAGCTTGACCTGATCTGACAATGTCTTTAAGTAGAACGTGAGCTGTTGTATGATTATTGAGGGAACAGGTGACGTAACCCGAGTGTTAAGTTAATAACCTCCAACACTCACAGTAAGAATATCAATAACATAACACAAATCTATAAACTGATAAAATTACAAACACAAAATAATATTGCTAAAAAAATACCAAGACTTTTTTATTATTAGTTTACATATCATGCGAGAACATTATACTCTGTGTTGTAATGACCGTATGACCTTTGTTTGCCTATAGTACGACATGGTATTGAAGGTTTCTGTGACCTATATCAGCATTATAATACGTCGTGAGCTTTAAGGACATTATGACCTGTGTTGAAACTACGAGATGTGGCCATATGACGTGTATTGAAACTACGAGACGTGGCCATATGACGTGTATTGAAACTACGACTGATATTGCAAGGACCGTGTGACCAGGATTAAAACGGGAACTGGCTTTTCAAGAACCGTATGACCTATGTTGGATGATAATATGACCCCTGGCAAGGCTATTTTGACCTGAAGGCAGCGTGAGGGAAGGGAACTGTGTGCTGATATTGGCCACGTTGGCACGGCATCCTGTCATCAGTTCCCTGGGTGGTCATGAAGGCTCCAGGCTATTGTGTGGGAGGTTGAGTGGGCGTGTCTCACTTATTTCTGGAGAGAGAGAGAGAGAGAGAGAGAGAGAGAGAGAGAGAGAGAGAGAGAGAGAGAGAGAGAGAGAGAGAGAGAGAGAGAGAGAGAGAGAGAGAGAGAGAGGGTTTGTGTGTTTGAGGAGACAGAGTTCGTGAAGTAAGTCTATGTCTGGACACAGGATAAAACAACAAATAAACTCGACTAAGGAACACATACCCTGAACCCCGACTCGTGTCAGATGAACCACCACACCGTAAACAAACCACAACGAATCCCAACTCCCGACACATTCACCTCTCCCAGTCTACCACCGCACCGTCGCCTTAAATAATCATAGCATCATATCATCACTTTATTAGACCTCTTAACTGTGCTTGTAGATCGTATCGGCCGAGAGAAGACACCACAGCCTAATGTCTTTGGGGTCTTAAAGCCTCTTTTATAGGTTGTAAGACGATATCGCTGTTTATATTAGATATTACACGTTTTAATAAGGACTCATGACCAGATTAACAGCCTTAAGGAGTATTTTTTTTTCTCTCTCTCTCTCTCTCTCTTCAAGATGAATCTGGTTAAGTGAGAGAAAGGGTGATTCTGTTTGGCTTGCGGACATGAAATTGGTGTTAAGCTATTTAGTGATGATGTCTTTTCAACACACACACACACACACACACACACACACACACACACACACACACACACACACACACACACACACACACACACATACACACACACACACACACAAAGCCGTGCATATTGTGACCTGATTTTTTCTTATGAAGTTGCAGTTGAATCATAACCAAATGTTACCGTATATAAACTCGTGTACCCAACAAGCAATCAAAACATTGTGTGGTAATTTTAAAGTGTCCTTCTGCGTATACTTGCATCCTTACGTATATGTTTATATACATATTTATGGATATACATAGATGTTTATATAGATACGAATGATTAAATATACCCCTTATATATATATGTAGTATGGTATATATTGAAATACGTATATAAATTTCATCAATAAATCGTAAACTAAAATTAATAAATGAATTAGACAATACATTAATAACGAAAGATATGGTGGTCAAATTTGTGTGGTGAGTCGACTAAGGTCATTGTGTGGACGAGAAAGATACGTTGGTGCTTTAATTCTTCTCGTCAACAACTGAGGTCCTTAATGAGCTTACTCTTAAGTTGAATTATACACTAAAGTCTAGACATTAATAAATTAGCATTTATCATAGAGACAGATCTGTCGTCTTAAATTAACGAGAGAGATATCAAGAACGTGGCTGCGAGTACTCTGCCTGGGCTCTTGTTACTCTCTGTGTGTCTGTCTGTGTGTCTGTCTGTGTGTCTGTCTGTGTGTCTGTCTGTGTGTCTGTCTGTGTGTCTGTCTGTGTGTCTGGCTGTGTGTCTGTCTGTGTGTCTGTCTGTCTGTGTGTCTGTCTGTGTGTCTGGCTGTGTGTCTGGCTGTGTGTCTGTCTGTGTGTCTGTCTGTGTGTCTGTCTGTGTGCCTGGCTGTGTGGGCTGGTCTGTGTGTGTCTGTCTGTGTGTGTCTGTCTGTGTGTCTGTCTCGTGCGCGTCTGTCTGTGTGGCTCCTGTCTGTGTGTCTGTCTGTGTGTCTGTCTGTGTGTCTGTCTGTGTGTCTGGCTGTGTGTCTGTCTGTGTGTCTGTCTGTGTGTCTGTCTGTGTGTCTGTCTGTGTGTCTGTCTGTGTGTCTGTCTACCTGTACAACACACGGCTTTTTATACTGCCTCATATTATCTTCTTGTCGTGTAGTTTTTTCTCCGTTTCTCACTATTTTTATTGTTTTTCTCTTTATCATTTGTCTGTTGTTTCTCTTCTTCTCTTTGTGCTGTCTCGTGATTTGTTTGTTTATCTTATTATTATTCGTGTATGTCTCCCACTACCCCTAAGATGGAGTCACTTACTGTTATCGTCTTGTTGTTATCGTCCTGTTCTTTGTTATCGTCCTGATCTTCATCGTTATCGTCCTGTTCTTTGTTATCGTCCTGATCTTCATCGTTATCGTCCTGTTCTTTGTTATCGTCCTGTTCTTCATCGTTATCGTCCTTTTCTTCATCGTTATCGTCCTGTTCTTTGTTATCGTCCTGATCTTCATCGTTATCGTCTTGTTCTTCATCGTTATCGTCCTGTTCTTCATCGTTATCGTCCTGTTCTTTGTTATCGTCCTGATCTTCATCGTTATCGTCTTGTTCTTCATCGTTATCGTCCTGTTCTTCATCGTTATCGTCCTGTTCTTCATCGTTATCGTCCTGTTCTTCATCGTTATCGTCCTGTTCTTTGTTATCGTCCTGATCTTCATCGTTATCGTCCTGTTCTTTGTTATCGTCCTGTTCTTCATCGTTATCGTCCTGTTCTTGTTATCGTCCTGATCTTCATCGTTATCGTCCTGTTCTTTGTTATCGTCCTGAAGATCTTCATCGTCTATCGTCCTGTTCTTTATCGTTATCGTCCTGTTCTTCATCGTTATCGTCCTGTTCTTTGTTATCGTCCTGATCTTCATCGTTATCGTCCTGTTCTTCATCGTTATCGTCCTGTTCTTCATCGTTATCGTCCTGTTCTTCATCGTTATCGTCCTGTTCTTCATCGTTATCGTCCTTTTCTTCATCGTTATCCAGGATATGAAACAAAGATCATGTCCAATCTGTGAACTGAGATTGCAAAGGCCAAATGAGTTCAAATTTGCAGTGAACATAAGACGGTCACCATAATTATATTTCATGTTATTGAAGGAATGAGCATAACCAGTTGACGCCATTAGAGTTCCTAGATCAAATTATCTCACCTGAAATAGTTACAAGAGCTGATTAACTTTTGAGATTTTTTTTCAAGATCACTTTGACCTATTTTCAAGATGATAAGGAAATATCAAAATCCAAAGAATATCTTGAGAATATTAAGCCCAATTGTGGTTAGAATTTTAGAGATAACTTCAATAATAATTAGTTTGATTTTTATTATTAGTTTTGAAGTTATTCCAAGATAGTTAGACGTACTCGTAAATTATAACACTAAAATCGGGATGCTGGGTGGTTTGAATAGTAGGTGGGGGGGTGTCGGGGTTGGGGGGGTGGGGGGTGTCGGGGTTGGGGGGGGTGTGGGGGTGAGGGGTGGGGAGACGCATATTACTGCTTGTAATTATCAGGTGTATCTCTTAGTTGTTCCTCTGCATTATTTGTTTCTTTGCTTCTTTTCTATTTTTCTTAGTTTTTCATTATTCCCTATTACTCTTATTTTTTTTATTTGGTTCATTATTCTGTATTTGGTGTTTATATTTTGATTATTTATTTATTTATTTGTTTGTTTATTTATTTATTTATTCATTTGTTTTTTATTTATGTATTTGCTTATTCATTTGTTTTTCATTTATTTATTTGTTTATTTGTTTATTTATTTATTTATTATATTTTTTTCATCTTTTATTGGAGTTTGTTTGTTTCGATCGTCCGTGCGTTAAGTCTGTCGGAAAAAAATCCTCAGAGGAAGGTTTCGGTCGGCTGTGATTCTTACCCACCTGTGTCCTTGTAAGTCTTCCTGTCTTCCCTATCTCCTCTTACCTAACCTTCTCCTCCTCCCCTTTGTCATCTATTTAATTTATTTTTTCCTCTCTCTCTCTCTCTCTCTCTCTCTCTCTCTCTCTCTCTCTTTGATGACAGACATTCAGACTAACACACCCAGTTATAGTGAGAGGCAGCGAGGCGTTTCCGTCTGAGTGTTGGGCGTCACTAGCATTCCTTGGTCTTGTTAAACCTTTCCTTGTGATTCAGAAAGATTCACAAGTGATTCACATAGATTCAGAAGTGACTGACATAGATTCATAAAAAAATTACAAGTGATTCACATAGGTTCAGCAAGTGATCTACATAGATTCACATAGATTCAGCAGTGATTCACATAGATTCAGAAGTGATTCACATTGATTCAGAATGATTAACAAGTGATTCACAACGATTCAGAACATTGCCACAGCTAATATACGCCACACATACCACTTATACACTTGTTCTAATGCTTGTGAAATGAGGATCGACTCTCTCTCTCTCTCTCTCAGGGTGGAAAAAAGTTTTATAGTCTAGCTGGTCCATTACGCCCTCTGTGACACAGTAAGTTTTTGTAACCTGGGTCATTTAGCGCAATTGGCGTGGCATTAAGTTATGATTGGCTGGTTATTTATGAAGTGGGTTCTGATTGGCGGGTGTGGCTAATAGAATTATAAAGGGGAGTTTTTAATGTGATCCGGTCTATGTGTTTGTCTATTATTGACGTCTCTTTAAGGATTTAGGTCGGTTACAGTCATAAACACCTGATCTACTACGGCTTGAAATAAATTACAAACCTTAATTATGAAAATGATGAGAGCTTAAGTATTTTTTTTTTACTCGCGTTACTATTATTTTACTTGACATCTCCATTTTAAATGTATGTAGCTACTGAGAAAAGGAGGTAAACAGGTATACATACAGTGTTAATGAGGTGTTGAGGATACCTGTATACGATACCTGTAATGCCGTGTTATGCAAGATGATCACCATAGCAGAACACACACATTACCACAGTTAAAAATATTGAATAACTATGAATGATTAGAGTGTTTGTGTTGCTCTTATTCACGGCCATACTGCACCATTCTGGAAGAGACTTGCCATAAATGAAGAAATAAAAATAAAATAAAAGAAATTAGTTGAAGTGCTTATGATTTACTGTAGTAGAACTCTTTTATGAGACTTCACTATATAGAAAACTTGAAGGTTGTTGTTGTTGAAGCTTATGTGTTGTTTTGGAAGCTTATGTGTTGTTTTTTAAGCTTATGTGTTGTTTTTTAAGCTTATTTGTTGTTTTTTAAGCTTATGTGTTTTTTTTAAGCTTATGTGTTGTTTTTTAAGCTTATGTGTTGTTTTTTAAGCTTATGTGTTGTTTTTGAAGCTTATGTGTTGTCTGTGAAGCTTATGTGACTAAACAATAACTGATTCTGTTTTGATAATGCTCTTCACTTGTCTTACACATATCTTGAGGAAAGAGTGAGAGCAGTTCCTTACCTGTTGACATTTTGTTACCTTGAGAACTAATGATTTGGGTTACTCAAGATTTTTCCCTGCTCTGTACTGTTGGTTAGTCGGGAGAATTAAGAGCAGATACATGCCCTTCCTTCATTCTCTCTTACTTCTGCTTTCTCTTCTCATGTTCCTCTTCTATAACAAGGCCAAGGATATCTGTGTTTGATCCTGATAGCTTCAGTAAAATCCCGCAACGAGAAGATCTACTGTATATCTAGTTGTTGTTGAAGCAGTCAATGTATGTGCTCTGAAACGGCAAAAAAAAAAAGAAGGCGAGTCTAACTTAATCTTGGCCTAATGACTTGCTGATGAGGTCTCTCCGTCGCACCTCAACCACTGGTGGAGCGGTAGAGCACCAGGTGTTATCAGGATGGTGGGGGCAGGTAATGATAGAGTCACCTGGGAGGGAGGAAGGGAGCCTGTACGTGGCCTCAATCTCCCCTCAGCAAGAAACTATCAACACTGAGTCTTATGGGCGCTAATTGAGGCTCACTGCAGGCCGGAGTATTATTATATTTCTCTGGGAGGCTTTTCGTCGATGCAGGCCGTTCCACAAGCCTCTTATTTCGGGTCTGTTTTATCGTCGCCGGAGATTGTATTACTCGTGGTTTATTTCCAGCCATGATAGCAAGAATTTTGGACCTATTTTTATTCTGGTAATTGGTGATGTTTCTCATGATCTTTCTTAGTCTTGTTGTGAAACTTTAGGAGCAATGTGGATCTTCAACTTATTTCCACCATAATACCTTTACCTGAGTAACCTTTTCGGGGAAGACAAATTTTATCTGTAGTTTGATTCAGTAAATATTATGTTTATTGATTTCGAATTTCCAGTATTGTTTATAATTCTGACGATTTTTATAGGACCAATATTGGTTTCTAGTTTACTGTCATAATATTTCCTGTACTTATAAATGTATTTCTATTTTCCTAAAGATTATATAGATTTATGGTTATTATTCACGTGAAATCGGCACGAGGAAGACATTTTCACCTCATACAAGCTCGAATCTCCAGCATTATAATTTTGGAAACGATTAATTCCCTAACTAGCGTGAATTTCTCCTTAATCTCCTCAAATTAAATATTTTTTATAGTCCCATTCATGTGTTTCGAATTTCTAGCGATATAATTCTTGAAGCATGGTCATTTACGGTGTCCCAATTATTCGGTTAGCGATATAGTGATTACCGAATCTAAAATTACATCGTTATTGGATATTGAGAGAGGGAAGTCGGGGTCTGCGTTGTTGTTTTTGTTTCTCTTCGTCTTCAACTTTTGGGGTTTTGTGCAGTGTCATGGTACTGGTGTGGTGAGGGCGACGGAGGAGGAAGGGAGGGGAGAGGTAAGTGGGGGGAAGGAGGACGAGGAAGAGGAGGAGGAGGAGGAGGTGGTGGTAAGGGGGTGGAAAGAGGAGGAAGGGAAAGGAGAGAGGTGAGGAAGGGGAAGGAGGAGGAGGAGGAAGAAGGGAAAGGGAAGAAGGAAAAGGATAGGGAGGGGAGAAGACGGGAGAGAAGTAAAGAATAAGGAAGAGTTTTAAAGAGAGAGAGAGAGAGAGAGAGTGAGAGTGAGTTTGTGTGTGTTTGTGTTCAAGCTAATTTTATATATATATGAATCAATACCTATCATAAACATCTGCCAATAAACCAATAAATAAACCAATCTATTCCATCATCTCATCCATCTTTTACTCCTCTAGAATTCTATTGTTTACCAGTGACGTCACGGTAGACACACACGGGGTCAGACAGGGGTCAATATGTCAACAGAGCTCCAAAGATTTATCTACTCTCCTCACACCACCACCTCCTCGTTAACTTCTGACTCGTGGTCGCTTAATTAGTTTATTTATGAATTAGCTTCGTCGTTAGTTAAGGTCATTAATTTAGGCTTGTTAGACCTCTGGTAATTCAGGAAAAATGGGTGATTTCTATGATGGCATTTACCTTAGCTTTTTTTTTTTTAGGTGGTTCAGCTGCCAGGGTTATTAAACTACGTTATTCTCGCTGGGCTTTCGTCCCTTTTACGTTTTGTTCTCCCATAATCTGTTCTTCCCTGTTTTCATCACCTCCCACGTTTCTTCTCCCACGTTTTGTTCCTCTCATGTGAAGGTAGAGTCTCAGTGCTATGTTGCCTCCATGTTGACTAGCTATATTTTTGTGTTGCAGCTTTTAATAATGTTTTAGGATTGGGTTAAGGGCCCTTAGGGTTGACTAAGGGTTTGATGTTATCCTTAAGGGCGTCATTTAGGATTGTGGAAATAGAATTGCAACACATTCGCTTCTTGTCCTTTGGGT